CTTGATAATAAAGACTGTAACAGATGTCATTCGGTAGTCTGTTTACTAGTGTTTTAATTGACCTATAGAATTCCATATCATATTTCTATATCTTCTACCTAATATTCGTATTATGTAGTAAAAATTTTCATTTCGTAGTGAACGTAGTGGAGCGTGGCATAGTGGAGTGGGCTTCAGCTGACAACAGGACGGTTAGCCAACACAAAACCGATTTCGTGGTCACCTAAATTTATTATAAATAAGCGAAATAGCGGGAAAACAGCCAGTATTGAAAAAAACAGATTTCATCTCGTTTTATTTACAATATTATATAGGAACATATATAAACATAAACACTCAATGAGCATTCAACTGATGATAGTGATCTCGAAAGTGTTTGATGCGACAAAAATCATTTAATAGGGCATGTGGGTTGTGACTCTCGTCTTTGCTGTATCCGAATATGGTGTCTGATTACAAATCTACACTTTCAGGGCAATGATCTCGAAATCATAGTTACACAACAAAATACAACCATCGACATCAGATTTTTTTTTCCCTATACTAAATATAGTTCAATCGATATTCCACAATAAAAACAGTAGGAATGTTATTAGAGTGCCTTATCACTTACGTATGTTTGTATTATTACATAGCATTTAAGAAAAGGGAACGTATACAAGTAAAACAAAAAGTCTTATTTCAAGATCATATATTTATATGTTTGTCAATGAATGCTGTACGAGTTGGCAACGGTCGCTGGTCATTAAACAAATGAAGGTCGAAGATTTACACTCCTTAGCTGATTGTAGATTGTAGAAATGTCGTAACAAACTCTTTTCTGTAGTCCTAATTTTCTTACTGTTAACTTTAACAACAAAATTATTGGATTATGGGATGAGATTCAATATTTTTTTTACCCAACTGCGCAACGCAGAAGAGGGTAATGTGTTTATGAGTCTATGTATGTTTGTTCCTATATGGCGTTATAGAGATCAAACGGCTTGGCCAATTTTGATGTGTCTTAACCTTGCGAGTGTCACTAAACACATAACGGTAGTCAAAATTCTTTTTTTGGTGTACCTCCCCTACATGTGAAGTGGGAATGATTATTTATTTTTAAATTTTCCTACAGGTCTTTCAAAAAGTGTACGACTACCGTTTTTAGATATAGTGAGCCGTTTGCAAATGATTAAGCTTTTAAGTGCTAAGTACTATTTTGGACCGAGCTGAGGTTGACTTAAGTTCGCGAATTCTCGCTAAAGGTCAAGCATATGTAGTTTTGAATCGAGTGAGGTCTCTAGGGGAATAAGATTATCAGTAGTTTAGACCATCGCAAGTTGCTTAATAATCCTCACGATATAAACTCCCTCAATGAAATGACAAGGTTGCGAAATTTACCGTCTTATAACGAAGTCAATGAGAACTAACTAAAAAGTGTAAAAATTTAAATATAAAAATAAAAACTCTCGTTTGCTGAAGTTCGTAAAAATTATAGTGTTTGAATATGAAAAGATTGGAGTCTTGTCAGTATAGAGTATCGATAACTTTTACAAATCCATTGATTTTATCAGGGTAATAAAGGTTTTATTTCATTGAAGCTCTATGTTATCACAGCGCTGTGCTCGTAGCTGTTTTTAACATAATAGTATAAAAAGTCTACATGCCACTTAGATATTCTAAAAAAACGAAACGAAAAAGAGGTTCCAAAATTTATATTAACGATTTTACCTAAAACTTATTCGAAATGGTTAATTTGTGATTGTTTGTACTTACTTGTATGTTGCTTTTATGTTATGCGTTTTGAATCATTTCAGTGTGTGTAACACCGTACGTCAGAGATGCCCATCTATTCTCAATGATACAGGCATTCCGCTGAGATCCCACGACAGTTACCACATGCTTCGATATAATTCATGGTTCAATGCTCATCAAGATAATGTTACCGGATAAAATAAACGATAAACACTCCACATAATCAATAGTATAAGACAAATTTCTATTACTACACGGAATAAAATTGTAACAGAATGTTTAATGCGTACTTTTTCCTAATCATTTCAGTTTCCAAAACAAGATCACAAAGCGAATATAAAATTCCGTGATAAATAATAATTTATGCAAAAAACAAAAAACAACTAAAAATACAACTTTATCCACGCAAAAAACAACTAAAAGTACAAAAATATTGATTCATTACCCAAATTAAAAAGAAGTTTCTATTATCATAGTATTACGAGTATTATTAAGTGGATAACACACACCAGTGTGCGGTAAATAAAAAATGCAACCAATATCCTAGGTTTTTAAAGACACCGCTTTAATCGTCCCAACTACACACAAACCACATCATTAAACTTTATAATTCATTCATTCAAGTCAAGGTTAAAACGTTAGAACGGTGGGCATGACAAAGTCATTGTCATTAATTAACTGCGGACCTTGTGACCACGTGTAGCTATAATTAACATCAACCGAAATTGTATACAGACCCTGATTATAAAAATGTATATTGATATTTATTATTATCTTACACTTAGTTAAATTTACGTTTAAATCAGTTTAAACCCTTTAAATTTATGTTTTAATACAAACGTCCCTATTTTAAATGTAGATTATTGAATATAGGTTGAGTTTAAAGAATTCAATAAGCTTATATAAATATTTGTTGTAGGTATGTAGTTTTTGTGTGTTTATATTCATTGTTGCACTTAATTGTATATTGTTGTTCACATGTACACCCCGGTCACCGTTATAATGACTGTTTCTCCATCCAAAGTTTGCCTGGAAGAAATCGCTTTAAGCGATAAGGTCGCCAATTGTTTGCATACTGATTAAGTTTAATATATGTTTGTTTCTGTAAATAGTGTATTGTTGACAATAAAGAGTTATCTATCTATCTATCTAAGCCGCTGAGTTAGTTTAAGTATTTTATACTCACAAAACATCGTCAAATCAAATATATATTATTAAGATATGGTCAAGAAAACTTAGACAATATAGTTATTAAATTTATTTTATGTAAAATTGAAATATCTACAGATCTGATTTCGATAAAATTTTAATGTGATTAAAGTTCAATTTATTTGCTAAGAATAGGTATTACAAGATCTTAAAAACTGTTATTATCGCTATTCAGTTAATAATAATTAACATGCAAAATTATCTAATTTCAGGAATGTGTTATAATAACATTTTTTCATCAGCCATTCTCGCAGTCTTTTTGTCATTAAGCTCTCAGATCCATTCTACGAGTATATTGTGCAGGAATCTTATTATAAACCTTGACGCACATGCAATAACAACTTTTTTGACTTAATGAAGTTTTTGGTTTGAATTCCAAAGCAAGTCTGTCACTATCTCTTGTGTTTCTAGGGTACATGTCTTTGGCTTTTTTAAATAAATCGGGGTGTCGCTTTACAAGTTTAAAAATTTCTAAAAATTGCTGGGCAAGGTTATTACACTAAATTTTTTAAAACAGTGACTTACATCAAATGGACCTTTACCACATATAGGTCTTTTGCAATTCTTTTGGGAAATAAACATTTTATTTGCGTCTGTAGGTACTATTGCCCCACAGAATGAGTCCGTAAGATATATTTGATGCCACATAACCACAATAAGCAGACAATGCCACCTTAAGAGACACTTAAACTATTCTATCTGTTTATTTTATCTACGTGGGTTGTGAAGTTCAGGCTTATATTTATACACTTTGATCTTAGCCAAAAGGCCGAGAAGCGATAGGCTTATATTTAATAATATCCCCAAAAATGTCACACTGTCATTTATCCATTCAAGAGTATACTCTTCTTATACCAAAGAAAGACGAATCATTAAAATTAGTTTACTGTAATAACGATTTATTCGTGAAAAATACAAACAAAAAAGCATTCAGTCGAATTTAGAACCTGCTATTTTTTGAAATCAGTTAAAATATTTAAGAAATTACCTGCAAAATGACACTCGTTCCGCACAGCTTACCTACATGACTCTATAAGAAACAGAGATTGGAAATACAAACGAGTCTAACGAGATAATGTATCCGTCTATAATTTCACACGGACGCCGTGTGAACTGTAAACGAATGGGGATTGTTTAAAAGCTCTAAACATAACGGTCGAGTCGAATTTGACCGCCCACGAGCGCGACCACGTCTTTATATTTGACCACCAAATTTAGGTTTAATATTTAATAGGAAACTGTATGCACTATTGTTATTATTGTTCTTAGGTAAAAAAATATAATGGTACCCTTGTAAGTGTATCTTTAAAATTGACTAATTATCATATACAGATTACAAAAAAAGACATTCAATACAATGCAACTGACTATTTTAATTAATTTATTTTATGACACTGTCAAAATGTCACTCATTGTCATATATTTGGCGATGAGCGAAAATTTTTTAAAAGTAACGTGATTTATAACAATTTAAATGTAGACTTAGTTGAATTTAGGGTACAAATAACAAAACCCGTAATATATATTTTAAATAGGAAAATCTGATTGTTTGTTTGTTTAAATCGAATAAGCTCTGAAACTACTGGATTGATTTAAAAAATCATTTACCTATTTACAGTTACATTATAGGAACGTGGGTGACAAAGGCTTTTTGTATAGCTAGTTATTTATATAGAGCTCCACAATGGGATACCGTAAACACAGATCCAAAAATAAGCCGAAATATTGAAAAATTACCTTAATTTTCAAAAATCCGCCATAATAGCTAATAATAATCGTATTGTAACTCTTGAGAGTTCTGATTTCATTTAAGTTCTCGTTTATTAGTTAAAGATATTAGCATGAGTTATACACAATTAATTACTTTTACTCGACTTAGATACGAGTGTAAGTTCTCATAAACGCTATCAAAAGAAAAGTCTTTCAATAAAATGACTTTCCTTTGAGATGAGGTTTTTAAGGGTTTTATAGTTATATAATGAATATTTATATATGTAATTGTCAAATGTAATTCCGTTTAACATATGTTTCTAATTTAAAAAAAAATATTGTTACAGAAGACATGAGTCGGTGAATTGCAGTTTATTCAATCATCTATCAATTAGTGACAGAGAATAGAATATTATCATGAAGCGGCTACAAAAGTGTTGCTGTTGTGCGAGCACAAGAACCGGTACCCTGATCACTGGTGGATTGGGTATCGTGTTATCAATAGCCACTATCATCACCGTATGGGTTGTGGAAAGGCATAGGATTTCATTCAAGACTTTCATATTTGGCGAAGACTTCGACAAAAAACTATTATCTCTAGACAGTAAGTATTTTTATTATATTTTTGCATTTACTAGCTGTGCCTATGGGCTATAACCCACTACGCGGGAAATAATTATTTCCTTGTTATGGATGAGATCGAATAGATCAATGGGCCATAACCCACTACGCGGGCCCAATACGGATTGTTGGGTGTTAACGACTACTGATGCAGCCGGAACTAAAGGCTTAACGTGCTATGTCTTCCTCACAAATCAATAGTGACAGTTAAATAATAATATTAGACTTCAGGTAACTAGTACAATGGTAAAATGCAAATAATTGAGATTATATTGAGATGCGATTATTACATAAACATTATCAGAATTGTCCTGCTGGTTGTCGCTTGGGTTGCGTGTGCGCATTTTGATCATACATTAGTTAATGATACGCTGTGTTCTTCTTTTGTTTTTGATCTTTTTAAATTGATATTTTTTATCTGTCTAGTTGAACGCATAATCTGTTATTTATTGTTATTTTTTCCATTCAATGCTAGTTTGCCTGGAAGAAATCGCTGTTGTTCGTTATTGTGTAAAATATTTATGTATTTTCTTTTTGTGCGATAAAGAGTATTTACTTACTTATTTAACCGCACCGTCAATCGAATGCGCTAACTCGCTTTCGGGCCTCTTATAATCTATACTATAATATTTTAAAGAGAAAAGATTAATAGTTTGTTTGCATTGAATAGACTCCAAAACCACTGGACTGATTTTAAAAATTCTCTCATCTCCGAGGAGCTAACTTATGTGTGGATGATAATATATGCTATAATTTACGTGAGCGGGAAACAGTTAAAGTTTCATAAAGATGACTAAAATTCTACACAGTTTTAAACGATTTTTCAACGTTCAATGTAAAACCAGTTGTAATTTAAAACGTTTACCCTGTAAACTACAACCAGTTATTTTTCTTTCAGTTCCGAGAATCATCCTCACTATAAACTTATGCTTCACCATATTGATATGCGCCTTACTCATTGTCGCAGTACACAAGGTAATTATTTATAATAAGTCAAAATAAATATTGTATAAAATTAATAACGGTTTTTCCATTTTGTATACTGTATTAGTTTTAGTATCAGATTGAATAACAGTAGAAAGGTAAAAATTAGTTACATCTGATTATGCCTATAAAAAATTGTAAAGGTAAAGTTGTTATTTCTTTTAACTACATAAATATTTTCATGTTTTTTTTATACTACAATGATCATAAGATTTTATATTGATATTATAAATTTCTTTGCTGCGATCAGACGTCATGCTCGGTAAGTTTAAGCGGGTTTAAGGGCCTAAAGATAACAAACTGTCCCTATAGGACTAAACAAACTGAATATCCAATCCTGTAGCTTAATTAAGGTATAGGATTGGATATGAAAGGATCAGTTAGGACAGTATGGTTAGGATATTAGGAAAATGTTTAATTATAAAATCCATCGCTATCTCATTCAATTTTACATCCTAAAGATATTGAGTATCTTCATGTTACAACATAATTTTTCATAATACTAGAATACACATCAAATGCAAAAAATCCACAATAACCCTTCTAGACATGTTTTGCTATGATACATATAGGTACCTACTTAATTGAATTACAAAGATAATATACTACCTATCTCTAAAAGCGATATTTCACTGAAGTAGGACAGACCTGCAGAGTAATTCCGTCATAAATACCGTGTCAAACACAGCGCTATCACAGCATTAAAGGTTCAATCAAATAAAACTATATGATTTTATTTATTTGAACTTCTTATATAGCAACAGCGCTGTGGGTGACACTGAATTTTTACAGCAAAGAGATATCATTACTTTTTTTTTCATTTCATAAGTAATATAAATTTTATAAAAACCATCACCTTATCTGCTAAAAATACATCACAAAATAAAAGGCGAATTAATGGGAATGAGCGCATTATTTTTCTAATGTGTTTGATACTTTTTGTTTACAGAGGAGATCATGGCTAATGCTACCGTGGGTTGTCCTGGGTATCGTGCTAGCAATAGGGCTGCTCATTAGTATACTACACACATCCATATCGTTTTATCTTCACGATACCAACAATGAAGTAGAAAAGTACAACGACAATATATTGGCCACTGTTATACTCATAGGAGGACTAATTTACCTTTGTAAGTATTTTCTCAGTAAAAGTTTTTCTAAAGAAAGAAGTAAAAGAAGTTGACCATCTTAGTTTGTTATAAACTGAAGGAATGAAGAAATAGATTTTGCTTAAAGCTCTTTAGTAAAGATAGTTTTTGCTTCTCTTAGAGCTTGAAGAAGAGATGTCTAACATCGGAGATGTTGGCGCGTAATTTACACTCGATAATGACATATGTGCATTATATTAAGTAGGATGCGCATAGGTCGTCATTAAGGGTTGGTTGTACCAACTTATTTTAACAATATCAAACAGTTAAAGTACCGCTTAAGCAAATGTTGAGTAGTACCGTTTGGCAATTGATAAATCAAATCATAAGTTTAACTGTTAACTGTGACCGTTCAAGCTTTGATGGTTAAAGTTATTGTTTTATGCCAAAAAAAGAAAATGGTGCAGAGCATTCCGTTATCAATTTTAACAGTATTTATTAATATACAATCAGCCTAAGTGTTGTAATTTACATTTAGAAAGTTTTATTAAGTATTTTTGTTTAGAGAAGATCGGCAACGTAATAATTATTGGTTTTGATGTGCAATTATGAATTAAAGTATTTTTCGAAATGGCGATTATCTCTTTAAACGAGGCTAGTATTGGTAGTATATACGTAGTAGTAACCAGTGACGTTCCGGATATCTATATCCGTATCCGCTTCCGCGGATATCCGACGGAAAATAAAGATCCGTATCTGTATCCGTAACCGTTACTTTTCTGGCGGATCTTTTACGGATCTTTTAACTTATTAATTTTCAATTGATAGGATGAAATGCTGTATAAAGGTGATTAGGGAGATTTAAAAAACTATTAAATTCAATTCAAGTATGTTTTATTTGTTAATTTAAAATATTTGGCACCTTTATATTGCAAACATTTATCGTAGTAAGTTACCATACCAATAGTACATAACTCAAAGGTGACTAATCAACTATCTTTATAATAAGATCAATATTATAGAAAGTTATAACATCAATTTTATAAATATAAGAAAATGAGAAAACCACAACTGAAATAATTATAATGACATCAATATAAAAGAAAGTTAAAAGATCACTTTTATGAAAATGAAATGATGAGAAAACCAAAAATAAATTCTTATAAAGTAAATTAATACTGCGTACCTAGTAGGTACTACTACCTACCATATAAAGTGTAAACATTAGATTACACGAGCAAACACAGTGAAAATTAGAGGAACTTGAAAAATATATTAATTATAAATATCCGTATCCGTACCCGCGGATTTTGACACCAAATATCCGTATTCGGATCCGTATTCGCAGATATACATTTTTAATGATCCGGCACATCACTAGTAGTAACGTGTAGATGATCCATGATGCACTACGCTCCGCTGCTGGTGCCGCTCGGTTACGAAAGGACTATGTGATAACTTGTTGTGGGTTATATTAATAATTATCGTCATAATTTTAATGTATTTTATTTTCAGGTATCTACTTATATCTCTGGGCGGTGGTGTTCAGCCATTATCTTGACGTCCGTGATGAGGAAGAGCGAGGAAGATACAGAAAGGCCCCATACAAACGCTAAGAATGTATCATCGACAGTAAAAATCTAAAGCACTTTCACTCACAGTTAAAAAAAACCTTTAAAGTTTAAAATTATCTCATTGCGATTTATAATATTTAATTAATTGGCGTGATGAATCTCTCTTCTAAATTTGTAGATAGGGATAATAAATAATAAATATATATATATCTCCAAAGTTTAGAAGTACATTTTCGGAGATATACTTAGAATTAAAATTAGTGTACTACTAATGAATTAGCTAAATCTAGCGTGTTAATGGTTTTAACGAAGGGCAATGAAATTTCGTCAGGAATAAGTATTTTCTACAATTTTCTCACAGAGCCCTAAAAAGATAACTGTCGATATCTATAAACTGCCTTAATATTTATGTTGTTAAATTTAATCTAAAACATAATATGTAATCTTAAAACTATCAATGCAACTGCATTTTTCGAATAAATATGTTTAATTTTATTAAACAAATATATCGGAGTTTGTATAATTTAACATTTTGTAACAAAACAAAAGGGAAAAATAAAACCGATATATATAAAACCAATAAAATTTTATTTTATTAGATTTATTCATTAAAGAAAAATATAAGATATAATGGTTTGATTTAAAATCAAATCAAATCAAAATCATTTATTCAATTTAGGCTATTACAAGCACTTGCGTAACTCTAACCTTATTAGGTACAATAATAAATAAATACGCTTGTACCTAATACAAAACTAAATACCTCCAAAAACCATAATAAAATTAAAAGTCTATTATTACTCTGCTACTACTCTTTAACCAAAATTAAACCAAATTCTATTAATCTTATAGATTAATGTTTAAAAAAATCCCCAGATCCAGGCGTAGGTAGCATTCACAAGATTTTTCAATAAAATAAATATCAATATTAAGTAAATATTAAACAAATTCTATGGAGTTCTTGTTGAAAACGTTATTTTAAATACTGAAATCTATAAAAAATTCAAGTTTTTATAGATAACAATATTTTCCGTGATATTGTAGATATTGATTATTAAAAAACAACACAAGTTTACATATTTGAAATTTATTTATATAATGCATGCTTCAATGTTTTATTATAAACACATTATCAAGAAAAACTTTCGTAGAAGAATAAAGACTTTATAAATATTAATCATAAAAACAAATTAAGCAACGATTTCTAGTAAAAAAGTAATAAATAATAATCTAAAAAGTGTCATGTAATTATTATGAACTCAGTCAATTATGTGGTTCACAGGTGTAATTTACAAACAATTAAGTACATTTCGTATATTTATTAATAATTAAGGCTTATTTTATTTAATTAGTGTAATTGTTCTTAACTTATTTTTTTACTTAAAATATTGAATGAATAAACGTGTTCAATGATCGTTGTTTATTTTATTGCCCATAAAGGAACATCTAGCTAATACAAAGTCACTGGCTTAATGCTAGATAAGCTACAGAAAAAATGAGGTACTTACGCCCAATCTTACGGTACTTACGACCGCTGCAGTACACAAATCCAATTAGAATACGTGTCACTTACAGACCCACATTGACTAATTATGTAGTAAGGACGGACGAATGTAATTGCATCAATTACAGGCGGGTTTTAGGTTTCAGCCCTGCGATTCAGTAAAAATAACCCCTCTCCATACAACTATTTTTTATGATGGCTTTTTCACTGTCCAAGCTGTGCGTCTTTGGAATGCTCTTCCGACTTCTACTGAGACACGTATAATCAATCAATTTTATTTTGTATTTTTATATGTTATAGAAAAAATAGAAACAATAGAATTTCTTCACAAAATTCAGACACATGAGTGAATTCAAATTCGGGTTCGGATTTTTACAGAATCGACCTACTGTGGTCAAAAAACAGTGAGCCTTATTAAGCGACAGTACTTAATTCAAACAATAACTCTAAAATCGCTATATTTAGCAACTACTGCAAGATACGAAGGCGACACTGAAAGTTAAAAAAAAATTACTACTTGTATAGATTTTAAAAATCGAACTCTGTGCTAATATTACTGAGTATATTTTATTGATTTGTCATTTGTTTTACGTTTATTTTAAGGCGAAATGAAAATTAACTGTGTAACGATAACAAAAAATTATGGTTTGACAACAAGAAAGTAATGGTCACAAAAACATTTCTTTGGTTATGATAGACTTCGATTGACCTTTCACGGTGAATTCTTTGGCGGCAGGCTGCTTACATTGAGTGATTCGAAATACGATGCATAAAAATAACTTAAAAAATCTTATTTTATACAACCGTTTTTTTTACCTTAAACATGTAAATTTAAACGTCTATTTACAAAACTATGTTCGTTAAAGAAAATAGTTTATAATAATTAAGAAGAACTAAGGGAGTTTCATGAAATTAGCAGCATATCTGATTGCATGTGCTAAAACTATTAGCAGGATGGCAGTTGGATGTTCATCGCATTCAGTTTTCATTCTTTCGCAGAAAAACTGTCGATTTTTCTGTCTCTTTTTCAGATTATTTAAATTACGTCTCAGATATATTTTCGTACTGTTCAGAATAAAGTTTTTGTTTTCAACTATACAACCATTCTCTTGAATCCAGCTTGTTGCTTTGTAAAACCAGTTTCTTCGATGGAACTCTTCGTAGCCTAGTAGGCTACAAAGAGCGACTGAAATTTTTTCGAACCAAATATATAAAAAATATATTTATTTTCAACTCAGCACAAAGAAATTAACAAATAAAACGTCGAATAAGGAAGAGAAAATACTAGAGTCAACTACGAATTCGAAATCTGGTAAATCATATTATCAAAGAACTTGATCCTCTTTTATTTTCGTACAAATAAAGAATTCTTGTAATAATGAAATAGAAATATTTTTATGAACTGTGAGAGTCGATTGCTTGAGATTTGTTATCAGTGACACGTTTAAGTTTTGGAACAATAAGCATATACATATCAAATTTAACAAATGACAAAGAAAACAATTTCAGCTGAGTGCAAAAAGCGCTAAGGTTTGCAAATGAAAGTCAAGCAACACGGCTGAATGAGGATTGGAGCAGCGAGTTAGAGATAAAAACTCGGATCGAAATAGCACGTAATGCCTTCAATTCGATGAAGAAAGTCCTCTGTAATCGTAATATTAACATCTCTTTACGAACTCGTTTGCTCCATTGTTATATCTGGCCCCTGGTACTATATGGATGTGAGGTATGGACCCTAAAAGAAGATTTACGAAAACGCATAGAAGCTTGCTGGCGCATGCTCTCTATAAGCTGGACCGAGAAGGTGACCAATGTCCGAGTTCTCCAACGAGTTGGCCAAAAACGCACGCTTATGGCAACTGTTAAACGGCGTAAAGTCTCGTATTTAGGCCATGTTCTTAGACATCAGAGATATGATCTCCTGCAGCTGATCATGATGGGCAAAGTTGCGGGAAAGAGAAAGGTCGGAGGAAGGAAGAAGTCGTGGTTGCGGAACATGCTAGAGTGGACCGGGATAGCGAACGCTGCTGAGCTGTTCCGCCGAGCTAAAGACAAGAAGGACCTGAACATGCTAATCGCTAACCTTCACTAGTTGGAGAGGCACCTTTAGAAGAAGAAGAAGAACTTTGGTTACGATCGATGACCAAAAATGTATTATGATTAATATTTGACAACACCGAATACATTGATTATATTCCAAGCTGACTAGTAGAAGCCGTCGTATTCTCTGAAACTAAAACATGATAGAAGACGAAAAACAAAAAGATACCATCTAAAACAAGACATGTAAATTATATTTCGATTTTCGCGACTTGAACCCAGGACCAGTGATAGCGACACTTTGAAACTGGTGTCCATTTAGCTATAGGAGTATGGAATTATCGGAAGCTCCTCCGCGATTCGAAACGTTAAGCTGTTGCTCACGGCTGTATCTGTAGTTTATCATCACCAGCCTATTAATGTGTTCACTGCGGGGCTAAGGCCTTCCCTATGAATAGAATCAAATGAAATCGAATAGGGAGAATGGGCCACCCACCACGAGTGCCCAGTGCAGTTGGTTTTAACGAAGGCAGATGCAGGTGGGACTAATGGCTTAATGTTCTTTCCGAAGCACGAGGGAGCTCGATAAGATAGGTTTTTGGTCACATATCTGAAGATCCACCATTGTGAAACTTGCTCGACAACCATACCACATAACGAGCGAACTAACCACTGCGTCATCGAGCATCTGCAGTTACACCCACCTAATAGGTTGTCAAGCTTATTTCTGCATACACCTGTTTACAGAAGAGTCAAAATAAGTCAATATTACCTACTTGGACATAAAGCAAATAATATTTATACCAAACCAAACATTTCACTTACTATGCTCTAAGAACAAATCGCGAGCAAAAAATCCACGACGAGCCAAATAAACTGTTTCCCTGTACATATTTGCACACAATTGATCCATAAGCATTTTGTCTTGTAACTCAGATCGTATGTAACATCTCTTTATAGAACGTCGTAAATAAAGATTTAAAAGTCTGTAATATAGTAAAAATTATATATGTTACGCTCAATGACCAAAGAACGTCTACAATTTAAAGGAAACCTACCATAACATTTGAGACTAGTAGGATCCACCTCGCAAAGCACTGTGTCTTAATTAAATATGGTTCCTAACGCTTCACGTATTTTCTCTATTGCCACAACTAGTTGAGGTCGAATAGCATGGCATCCATGACACGAATTGCGTTATGAAGTCTTTCTGTGATTGCAAGAACGCGTTGTGGACGTTATTATTAGAGCTGTTTTATTGCGTTGTGAGCCATTTTTTCACTCAATAAGTAATTTCGGTCTTAGAGCGTAACATATACATTATCTCAAGCTTCCAACCAATCGGCTTCTCGACGCTTCAGAAGGCTTAACGTGCCTTACGAAGCCGCATCTGTAGTCGTTAACACCATCCACACTAGGTCCGCGTGGTGGGTCAAAGCCCATCGTATCTATTTGATTTGACTAGATTGCATCTGTAGGAAGGCCAGGCCCTATTGATGATGTTGAAAATGGTAAAAAATTGATTATATGATTTAATATTTTTACTATATTTCAATATGTTTAGGTGCGACTGTTGTTGATAAGGAAGAGACATGCATCAGTTGATCAATGAGTAACTCGATGGCGTAGTGGGTCCCGCGATCGTTGTTGCTAAGCA